GCCCCGTGACGCTGTGTAATCCTGGGGCGTGTCTGTGCCCGCAGACGGTGCAGTATCTGAAGCGGTGCCATTTGGAGGTGGGGATGAAGAACAATGTGAAGTACGAGCTCACCAAAGAGATCGTGTGTCGCCAGCTGCTGAGGAGGGTGAGGCAGAGGAAGATGGGTTTGTCTTTCTGCATTTGTGCAATCAGCTGTCAGATGCTGCTTTTAAAGTACTTTGTTAAAGTTTACCATGGGGATAATCTCCAAGAAAAACTCATGGGGGAAGGAGCTTGCCTAGTGAGCAAGACGGCAAGAGCTTCAATCCCACTACTCAGCAGGACAGTTGCTACACCTGGCCTGTAGGGGGAGCTGTGTTTCACATGACATTGCTATTCATGTCAAGTTCTATTGTCCTGCAGAACAATACAACCATTAAAAAAAGAACATCAACAAAGTCCTTGGGGAAAACAATACTTCAGGTGATAAGAGAAGAATTTTCCATTGTTTTACAGTGAGGTTGTGGAGGGAGTGTTGGATGCTACTTACTTTGCTAAGGACTAAAATTCAAGGGCAGGAATAGGAGGAATTTCTGTTTGAAAGGAGCACGATAGCCTCCCCCCGGGCATTGTCCTTCTGTCCTCAGTGGGAGGCTCTGTCTGATCTCTCTTTCCCTCCTGCAGCTTGGGGTGTTTGTGCCTCCTCACGCCCTGAGGTTGCCCGATGAGCCTATCACCCGGTGGGGGGAGTACTGGTGTGAGGTCACGGTAGGTCAAATCCCGTGTGTCCTTGATTGGGGGGTGGGAGGAGGCTCGGTTCTGGGGTCGGCCAGCGACGGCTGCCTCTCTCTCCCCCCCCCGGAGGAACTTCCAGCATCACCTGCCTTTTTTATCTGGAAAGAGCTGGCAGACTGTCTGCGTGCTGTAAATCATTTGCCATCCCTGAATTCCACAGCGGCTACAGTTCGCTGGAGACGCCAGAATTAGGAGCAGCACAAAAAGACCAAGTGCCTCCCCAGCTACACAGAGCAGGGAGAGGCTGCCTGTTTTGGTGGGAGTCTGGTTCCACCAGTCACGCAGATCTTATAACCTTTGCACTGTGAGATAAGAAAACCAGCTCCTCCAGACACCATGACAAGACACAGAAGTCCACTACAAATCTGACGGGGCACAGCTGAAGGCTGTATTAAAGGGGAGCTGCAGGGCTGTCTTTATAGTTGGGGGTTAGAAAGAATGGGCATTGATGAGGGCATTTCAAACCTCAATGAAGGTAAAATGCACACGGTAACTTGTGAAACCCTCCATTTACCTAAAAAAAAAGACTAAATTTCCAGGTATGTGCAGCACCACGTTTTGCAATTCAAAACAAGGCAACCAAACGTCTTGAAGCCAAGAGCAATATTTCAATTGGATTACAGACAGTTTTGCCAAGAAAATGCTACTTGTTAACTCTGCATGCAGATCACATTTGGAACATTTCTGCGGTGAAATATCTGGTGTACAGCCTGTACTTATTCGCTCGTACATCACAGTACATTAGTCATTACAGTGACTAGTGAGCAGGAAGGGCTGCCTCACGTCACAATTTGCACAAAATGACGACTTACAGTGCTTTCACAAAGTGCACAATTTTGTGCCTAATTCTGAATTTGTAAAAATGTGCGATACCATCAATTTATTTTATTACTGAGATTTATTAACTGGCCTGTGAAACTGCAGTTCCCCTTTAACACTCCAACCGTCTTAACATTCTCTAAAAGATTTGTGTGCAAACACTGACATATGTACCTTACAACCTGGTATCTGGAACAGAAAGGCAGACCCAGACAACTGGCTGTCCCCTCAGTTGCTAAGTTAATAGTATAAAATACATGAAGAAAAGTATAAGTGTAAGCTTAACAATATTGAGGCTGAAGTAAATATCCAAGAAAACTACAGAAGGCACATGTCTTGTTTAGTCTTAAAAGAAAGATATTTATAAGACTGATGATGACACGTGCTGTATTTCATTGCAATGCCAGTAAATTTCAGATATAAAAGAGCGATTTAGATCTCAACCCATGTGAATTTCTCTGCCTCTGCAAATTCATTCCCCTTGTGGTCGGACAAAGGTGTTTGATAAATCCGCCCACACACTTCATTTGGAATGAAATAGTAACCGTACTCGCTTTAAAGCAAAAGAGTTAAAGGATGCTGGAGGTTCCTGCATTAAATACCCTAAACTATAAACGTGCTTCGTAAAGATGTAATATCTTTATCGGTACATTTCATTTCCATTGGAATACATTTTAATGAGATGATAAGGCCAGGCTTGCATACATAATGTTTATAGCACCTCCTGCTGGCCGACGTGAGGGCCTGCAAGGATAGTGCAAAGCCAATGGAGCTTGTCCCTCCTGCCATCAGACTGTTTTCCTAATGTTCCTCTGTGGCAGAGGAGCCCCACCTGGCGCACTCCACTTCTGTCTGTGCTTAAGGCTAATTGTAAATTTTCCATTCTGCACTGACTGGCCAGATTTTTAGAACCACATCACTGCATGGGCCTCTGCCTGCAGCAAGACCCCCACTAGGCCAACCAGTGGGTCTGTGGCTAAGGATCTGTGCCTGTGGCATCCTACTCCATTGGGCCCCTGAGCAAGGCCCTTCACCCCAGCTGCTCCAGGGGGGCTGTATAAATGGCTGACCCTGCGCTCTGACCCCCAGCTTCTCTCTCCCTGTCTGTGTGTCTCATGGAGAGCAAGCTGGGGTATGTGAAAAGACAAATTCCTAATGCAAGAAATTCTACATGGCCAATAAAGTGATCTTACCTTATCTTAACTGGAGACGTGCAGCACAGTTGAGGTTTCAGTGAGGGTCAGGGCTTTGGACCCGTAACTGAAAGGTTGTGGGTTCGAATCCCCGGTGAGACTCCCTCCAAGGTTGCTGTTGCACCCTTGAGCAACGTACGTCACTCAAATCATCCCAATAAAATACCCAGCTGCATAAAATGGGTGCAATTTTGGATAAAATCATCAGCCAGATCAAACACCATGTGTATGTTGATGTGGGAACTGAGATCTGGGGAGTTGTGCTGCCGCTGAGAGCCTGTCAAATTGAAAGGGAGTTTCTAATGTTTCGGCCCACCAGTGTGTGTATATATACATATTCCAAGCAGTCATAAAGCAGAGCGGAAACTGTTTGTCTAGATCTGTTTATAAACCGTGCTGCTTTGAAATTGCCATTGAATAAATATCGCGCAACAGACTGGGCCGTTCCAGTTCCTGCTGGCGGCAGGGTCTGGTAAATAAGCCGGCAACAGGTGCTGGATGGATCCTTGCTTGTTATCTGGTTTTTAAACAAATCTGCATTGAGGAGGGAAGGCATTTCAAAAGAGAAAGGTAAATGTTTACCTTCGGGTCCCCTGGGGTGGGGGGGGTACCTTTGTTTCCCAAGAGTCCTCGTTGTAGCAGCACGCTTCTTTAAAGCACCCCCCCCGCCCCCTCCAAATAAAATAGAGAGGAGGGGGCCCAGCAGGGAGACGGCAACACCTGAAGTGATCGTTCTGTCTCTCGCTGTTCTTTCCTGGCACGCAGGTGAACGGCCTCGAAACCGTCCGCATCCCCATGTCCGTGGTCAACTTCATGAAGCCCAAGACGCGCGCATACAAGAACTGGCTGAAGAAGGAGCAAGCAGAATCCCAGGATTCCAATCCGGATGAGACTGGGAAAGAGGACTCTTGATTGGGATGGTGGGTGGGGTGGGGGGGGTGTCTGCCCTCACCCCCACACCTCCTGGCCTGGTGGCCATAACGGGGTACAAGCTTGTAGGCTGTGTAGAACAGCTGTGTACACGGTTATCCACTTCTGGACTTGTGTGATGTAGGTCTTGTAAAAGCAGCAGTGCAGAGCTCTAGTCCAGTAGTACTTTAACTAGTAGTTAAACCACACCGGAAACAAAGGTCTTATCACTCTGTCAGAATGTGCGCTGTGCAGTTCAGGTCACAACCTCTGAATTAAAAGTTAAAATTGTATCGACTGCGATTCCTCCTTCATTAGGGGAAGCTGATCCGCCTTTATTTCAGTTCTGATGATGATCTTTGGATTTGCACCCGTGTCACAGCTGGCTGAGGAAGCGTGGGCTGGCCGGGGGAAGCTGAATAGTGTTGCGCAGTGTTCGGAAGCCCCTGCAAGGTGAGCTTTGTCCACTGGAGCCGGCGTAACACTGAAATGCTTCCCCACCCCAGCCTCTGCTCCTCATTTTCTTACCTATTCTTGCAAAGCCCTGGGTCCCTTAAGAGGATGAATGAAAATATCTCATTCCTGAGTCCAAAAGAACGGGGGAGAGATGTTGCAATGTTTTGACTGCAGGAAGTGAATTTTATCACAGCTTCCTCGGCTCTTTGTTTTGTCTTGGCTGATGAGTGCAGCGCTCCAAGAAGAGAGGTCTTTGTTTCTTGATTTTTTTTTTATTTACCAGAAATGTTCCACCTTCCAGAATTCCACGTCTCGGGACGCGCTGCTTTTGCAATGCAGCTCAATTGTCACGAATTGAGAACTTGGCAGCTACCACGTTGTACCCAGAGATTACACAAAAGGGCGCAGCTCTTGTCCTCGAAGAAGGGATGGGTTATTTTTTTCTCTCTCCGCGCACAGCTTCGCCCGAGATCGATCTGTTTTAGTTTCCTGTAAGCTGTGCGGGATGTAGTGTTTACAGGGAGAATACGAGGAGTCGGTGTCTCCTTAGAAGTCCCAATTTGTGATGATGAATCTACCAACTGAGGTTTGCAATACGGAAAGATGCTTTTCCAAACCCTCTGTGTCCAGCTTAGGCTGAAAGATGCCCAGGACAGCTCCTAGTCGCTTACAGAAGCGTGGAGGGGATCAATAACTGCAGAAATGTCTGTGCAATAACACATAAGTATCTTCTTGTAATGCTGACTACGGTAGTGATAATGTACGCAACACTGTGAAGGCGCGGTGTATCCCCTTAAAAGTATTTACTTGGAGCCAGTCGGAAACACGCACCGATCAATACAGAAATTGAAAATGTATGGAAAACGAGCTCCGATAATCCTAACCTCATGGACAAAGTAATCGCTTGGAACACAATTACTTGCGCCACTTTTAGATCACTGTTATCTATGTAATGGGCCAGACGCGATGGAATTAAACCAACAGCTCAGATAGGGGCTGTGTGCTTTAGAGTATACATACGACTCGTGACGCAGCGAATATACTGTAAATATACTTACAGGGCTGTTCTGCGTAACAGCTCTTCTCTGAACATCATATTGTGTTGGGATGTTCAGTGGAAGAGCGAGGATCTCGCAAATGGAAATAACAAACATGAATTATTGCAGTCATAAAATATTGAATTCTTCTGATAATCCTTGTCTACCCTGTGGAGCGTTAGGAATCGATACTCAGGTTATCTCCCCGTGACAAACGTGAAAGCGGAGCGCACCCCAGTCCGAAAACTACATTTATAACTTGATTTCACCCCCGTTTATGACCTAAACTTAAGAAGAGAGAGAAATACTTGTGTAAGCTGCCAAGACAAATGAATAGGTCGACCCCTTTTTTATCTTACTTCATTTAATGTTTAATTCGCGATATATGTGTCAATATTTCACTAAAGCTGCGTTCTGCGCCAGTTGTGTCCATTCACTGGCTGGCCAGGAAGTGGTGGTACGACCTGTGTTTTTACTATTGCGTGCACAAAGGCCCTGTTTTGTACCCTACAAATCATTTTAAATGATATGCTTAAGCGCAGGTATCCGCCTCTCAGCCCAGTGTTGATATGGTTCTTTTCCTTACGCCCTAGTCCGGCTGGAGTCTGCGTCGTTTAGTCCTGGCTGTTGGGAGCAAGTTACTGGTTTCAATTAGCTGTTTGTCATATCCCCGCCCCTCCCTCGGCCTCGGCGCTTGGCGTCTTTCCAGTCTGGAGTAATAAAATTGAAGCCGACTTCAATTCCGGGCGGTAGGGTTGCATTCCTGTTTTGTGTTCGGGTGGAATAGCACGGCGTATCTCCGTCTTCGGGGCTACTGACTGTGGGAGGTGCGGAGTCGTGAGGTTCTGCGCGCACCTGGAAAAGTTTGCCAGACCTCAAGACGAAGGAGCGCCGTCTGGCAGTGCAAGAATACCGTCTTCACATTTCAGCCGCTGTGCTGAAATGAAAGTCCCTTTCTTTCACCCTCCGAAGGCCGGGGCAGTTCAGTTCAAGGTAAGTGAGCTGAAGAACCGTTAAACGTGTCCAATTTCTTTAAAAAAATCTCCACAAATGACGTTGCGCAAAGCTGAGCGAGACAAAAGCTTGTTAGTGAATAAACGTAAGCTTGCTGTTAAACTTTTGTATTGAGCGTTTAGAATAAGCATTTTTTTTAAAGAAACGAGCACAGAAGAAATTGTAATTGTTTATTTACACGATATCTTGAATAGTCAGACTGGGTGCGAGCTGGTTACTATGAGGTTAATTATAAACCTACATGGTCTGCCCAGCAAGCAAGGTTAGAATATTGCTTTTGCTGGGTTGTGTGCTTTTATTGTCAAAAGCCCTGGCGACACCTTATACAATGTAAAAGTCCCGATAGCAGTGCATAAAAACTGATTGGCTTGAGAGGAACAGAACACGATGTGTAACAAAATACAGAGTCCATCGGAAAATATAACGTTTTGCTTTTGATAAGAGTTTTCTTTTCATTACTGTACATTCCTAATACAGTATGTATCCTAATACATGTCTAAGGGCATTTAATGCCATTATTTTCTTAAGAGACAGGTTTATCCAGTTTTTAATTTTACAATCTGAAAAATTCGCCTTAAGTAAGTAAACATGAGTTTCATGCAGCTCGTTAATGAAATTGCAAACAATACTGGTACACCCTGTATGAACAAAACTATATGTATATAAATGACCTACTGTATGTTTACATGGGAAGCACACTGCGTACCTATCCGGACTCTTGCAGGAGTGATGCAGTTTGCTCATTCAATATTTGGCACTGTCGCCATTGTGAATGATAGCCACTGTTTAACACGCAGTACAGTATGCCTTATGGCACAGCTGGCTCACTAAATATCAGGGGAGTCACTTCTACCTCAGACCCCCATGGACTGATTTCCCCCTGTTTCTTCCGATTATGACAGTTGCATTAAACGGGACGTTAAGAAGGTATCGACAATATGTTTAATATGTTTTATTGTTTTTGCTGTTGTTTTTTTTTTTTAATCTGGGCTGCACTGGAGCAAATTCCAATCTTCTTTGTTGACATGGCAATAAAAAGTATTGGACTGAAATTGAATTGTGTTTAATGAGCCGGCTGTGTTGCACTCAATCCATGCTCCTTGAATAGGTGCTTTGTGTGTCCCAGAGAGTCTCAGTGGTCTGGGTCGGACTTGGCATGGTCTGCCATGCCCGTGTGGTAGCTAGTAGTTCATTGAAGCCAGTATCTCACCCAGCTGTTTTTCGGAGGAATTCAAGGAGTCACATTGTTCCCCCCTCCCACCCCCCTCTGCGCAAAGGAGCGCTTCGTGTTCTCCATTTTCAGTGTACTTCAGCGTAGTTTCCTCTTGTTCTCTCTGGTTCTTGTTTTAAGGAAAGCGATTGATAGGACCTTCAGATCTTTTCGTTTCAAACAAGCAAACGGGGAAAAAATAGCCTCTTTCTGCTTGTGTCCTTTCTACTGTTTGACAGGAGTGCACAGCGCACATTCAGAGCTTCCTTCAATGTGGACAAGAAGCTGAATTGTCTCCCCTCTCATGCAGACAGCGCTTTGGACAGCCTGCCTGTGTTTTCAGGGTCAGAGAGGGGATACTCTTCCCATTGGTGTTCCCTGATCTCATTTCCCCACCAGGTCCGAAGCCCAGCTGTGTCAACACGATTACGTGCTGCATTCCTTCCATCACACGGGCTTGGCTGCTGCCAGTGAGTCCCAGTGGGCTGCCAAAACAAGAAGTCATTGCTTTTCAGATTCTTGAGCTAGCACGCCACGTTTGTTTAAGGCCGTAATAAAAATCTGCCTGTGCAACTTGGACATAAATTTAAACTGAGAATCCCAGAGGACTAGATACCAGAAAGCAGAGACCTGGCATAAGTAAATGGGCTTTGATTTATATTGTATTACAAGGCTATAGATTTATATCAGTAGGAGGTGTGAGAACATCTTACTACGGAGAGTTTATCTGCTTGTCCTATTCCAGTTCACAATATCTGGAAGACTTAACAAGCTGAGTCGTAGTAAGGGTTTTGGAAATATAGTCAAGACTACACTACACAGTGGAGGGGGTGTTGAATCATTGCAGAGATCACATCGTGGGAGTATTACGAGTTTTTAATATACAGTAACATCTGTGTGTGATTGTGACCAGCCAGCGCAGTCAGGGAACTGGGCTGTGTGACGGAGCTCTTCCCGAGCAGCTGGTGAATCTTGCAGGGTGTCGACGGCTGCCCTTTAGTCGTTATTGTCCAGCTTAATCATAGCAACAGGACATCGGAGCCTGGATGAAAAAGCGCGTCTTGTGCTGGATCTGGAAGCCTTGGTGTGAGGGAGGCAGTGATGCGCTCCCACTAAGAAAGGGAATGTAGCCCCCCCTTGCTCCGTGGTATTTCAGTTCAATTCCGTCTTTGACGGCAAGAGTTCGAGTTGAATTTCCAGCCGGAGGAGAGCCCTGTATACTGCCTTCTCTGCTTAAAAGCATTGTTTGCCTTGACAGTCTCAGAGATGCTGATTTTTGGGACCTCAGACCTGTCCTGTGCTGAGTAAGAAGTGGATTACGATCACCATATTAATCTAGAGATTGTGGTCTGTAGGCCCCTATTCTCACCCTGTTTAATCTGAGAGAAAAGCTTGTTACAGTTGGGGAAGCTGCAAGCAGATCCACTGAATTGTTTTTCCCTAGACTGTAGCATCATTCTGATTTTCACACCTGCATCTTAAATAACAGGATTGTATCCAGATTACCAGATGGAAACGTCATCAGATCTAACCGGCTGGCGGCCTCATTGCCGTCCAGCTGCTAAAGACAAAGCACGAATATGGATGAAAACTGATTTAGATCACCAGCAGACTTGGCTGTCTAAGAATACTCCACACTGCATGGAGTTACTGCATAAGAACAGAAGGCTTGATGGGATAGCTTGTTCCACACTCCTACAACCCTTTGTGTAAAGAACTGCCTCATCTTCATGGTTTTCAGCCCATACAGTGTCCTCTTGTTTCACTGTTAGGTTTGAAATGAGCTGGTACAGTAATGGCTCTTCCACGTGTCTTTGAGTATGAAACTCAGAATCTTTTAAAACACCCTTGCCTTAAGCCTGTGCAGTACTATGCATTTTCTCCGTTCAGATTTCCACTGATTCAGGATTTGATGAATGTTTTTTTTTTCCCCCCTGCAGGTAGTTTTTTCTTGGCATGGTCCTAAGGAGAAAAAAAAAGGTGCAGAGCATGACGCAGCTGAAGGGGAGGTCTGAGTAAGGGGAGAAACAGCAGGAAAAAAGGTGAGTGATCTGCGTTGTGCGTAAGAGTGCAAACTGTTCCCCCTGGCTGTCACGAGGAAGCTGCTACAACAGTCGCCTGTTTCGTAACTTCGGAGACAATCGGGCTTCGTTGTGTTGGGGTGGGGGCAGTAGATACTGTGACTCCGGGAAAGAGCAGAAATATTTCTTGTGCAATGGGATTGGGGGGGTGTATTTTTTCCGCTGCTGGTGGAAAATTAACCAAAGAAAACAAGGAAACGTTCTAAAATACCCAGCGCTTGTGCCAAGACCGTGTTCGGCTAAGACTTGGAACTAAAGAGTCCTGACATGAGTTACTCAGGTCGGTGCCTCAGGTTGTTGTCTGTCAGTGTTTTGCCTTGCAGGACGGCGAGGTTGTTGGGTTCCGGTTTTTGTTTTCTGGCACAATAAATGATGCAGAATTTCAGATATGTTACATAAAATATGGAAATGTCCACAGATCCCAGGTTTTACTGTAGTCCTTTTTATAATAAGCTTGAATATGCTGTCATGTGGTCTGATTTAGATTTAGCCATCTTATTGGAGAATTCTTATTCAAATTGTCGGAGAACAGTGGTTTTGCATGCAAAAGGGCAGAGGTCTTCTGCAAGGCAAAGTTAATCTTGCAGAAGCATGACGTACAGGAGGGCTTTAAGTGGATTTAATGCAGTTCCTGTTTTGGCAGACCTCTAGGAATCTTGGTCAGTCTTGACCCCTGACCTATGACCCCTGCCTCCCTGTGCATGCCAGCCTAACTTTAAGGTCAGCCCTGGCATTTTCCTTGCCCACCGTCCCATTTTCTGCTCTTCGGCGGTTCGATAAGAGTGGTTCTCAGCTCAGCCCTCAGAATCCAGAATGCCGCAGGCCTCTTAAATTTACACAGTACTCCAGGCCACATAAAAGTAAAATTCAACTGGGTCAGGTTTAGCATGTCTCACTATCTGTTTTAATATGATTCCAAGGTTGATTCTCAGTGGCGTGGAGCTGCTTCAAACCTGGAGTTAAACCCTAGGGAAAGCAGCATGGATCCCCCTGTTTTAGAATATCCATAAAGGATGAGTATCGGGCTGTTTTGACTAAATACTTAATGCAGCAAAGAGCAATACTGCAGACCCTCCAACAGAAGACTATATGCCCAGGTTGTATATTGTGGGATGAGGGGTAGTGTGAGAAATGTAAAATGTGGGGGGGTTTGGGGGGGTCTGGAAATGTCACTGGAAGGTTGCGGGTTCAAATCCCGGTGGGATAGCTGTGCTGTGTAATGGGTAAGAATGTAAGCTTCTGCGAAATAAATAGTAAGAAAGTGACCAGCTTTCTTAAAACAAATATGCTCATCACTTGTAACTCAGGGAGTTTAAAGCTTTTGATTTGCGAATGAGGTGCCATGGTTCCTTTCAAGCTCTTTATTTTTTTTAAAGAGTGGCAATATAGTAAGTAAGTGCCTATATAGTAATAGGAGAATTTATCCTGGAGAAGCGGGTTCAGGGATGCTGGGTAAAAAGAAAACCTCTCCTAAAGAGAACCAGGGTTTCATCTTGCAGGCGAAAAACTTGGGACGAAAATTGGAAGGAAATAGTTTGGATCAGTCCAGCAAGTTAATTTTAGCTTAAATAATTGAGTGCCGAAATCCAGGATTCTAGGCTCATCTGAAATCCATCTGTTTGTCCAGTACAGGGTTGTGGGGGAGCTGGAGCCTATCCCAGCAAGCAACAGGTACAGGGCAGGGTACCCCCTGGCTGGGACGCCAGTCCATCACAGGGCAACACACACACACATACACACACACATACACACACACACACACACACACCAGGGCTGGTTTTCCCTGAAGCCAGTTGGCCTACCAGCATGTCTTTGGCCTGTTGGAAAGAAACTGGACCCAGAAAACCCACAAGCACATGGGGAGAACATGCAAACTCCACATAGACAGCACACCTGGTCCAGAATTGAACCCGGGACCCCAGCACTGCGAGGCAGCAAAGCTATCCACTGCACCCGCTTGTCAGAAATATATCTTTAAATTCTAGTGTTCTGCCCAGGGGACGTACGCTGTGGTTTTCAGCCGCATTTGGATCTCAATCTGAAGCGTGGGAGAGAAGAGGACAAAGCTTCAGCTTAGAAGGATTTCCCTCCCCTATGTTCCAGTTAGAAAATCTCTTTCCTTGTGGTTCTGTGTCGCAGGGCTTTCGATGTGAGAATAGCGATCTCTCCACATCTTGTTTCCTGTTCCTCACCTCCGCTATCACATTCTCAAGTTCTGACTTTTTCCAGGACATACGTTCACTTTTTACGAGCATTTAACCCAGGGAGTTCGTCATCCATGATTGTGACCTCTTGCGGTTATCTCTGATGTCTTTTCCTTGCCAGCCATTAAGTGAAGGTGATCAGGCACTTTTTCACTCTGGGCCTCAATCACCCGTGAAGAGAGACATTCCACACATGTTTGTCATAGCAGCTCACAACTCGTGCTGAGGAGTCTTTGTTTTTTGGCTGGGGATCAGAACAGCAAGCAGAGTTGTTTATACGCACTCCTTGCCCAGCGCCATTCGAATTATTTTCTTGGGTTTTCTAAATAGCAAGTTTCATGGTGCGAATAGTACTTGACATACCCGTCTGATGTGCTAAAATTGAATTTAAACACATGACTGGCTCAAGACGTTTGAGCAGGGAGCTGTATCAGCATGCATAGGCTGCAAAGGAACGTGGAAAGATTTATTCCATACTGAAAGGAAAAGGAAAAAAAAAATGTGCAGGCTTTTGAGAATTCCAAACCTTGGGGTAAAAAAAAAAATTCCAATCAACTTGTTAGTTCATTTTTCCTGTTACATGGACTGACACTTTGCCAAAGCTGACTCAGTATTTCAGTGAAGGGCATGTGAGCTTTTCCCATTTTGCTCTCGCTTATAAAGTAGAAGCTTTCAGCGGGTCATCGCGAGGTCACTTTTCTGTTCATAACCAGGGGTTCAGGACAGGGGCTCCTGCTGGTGAAGATCAAAAAACAACAGAGGGCTTGAAGAAGGAGCGCAGAGGGACATTGCTTATGCAACTCTTGGCACCCATTTTTTTTATGCCCGTTCTGTATCTTCATCCACAGATCTAAGAGAACAATGTGAAGGCAGACCCCGATGTCGAGCTCCCTGAGAGTGACTGCGTTGGCGAACCTTCTCCTGTGCGTCTGGTTGACCTTGGTCACCGTGCCAGCCACTGCCGGTCAGTTCCCCTGCCCCGCGTCGGATGGCGTGTTTGCGAACTGCAAGGGCGCCAATCTGGAATGGGTACCAGCTGGCCTCCCCCTCTCTGTAGAGGTCCTGGACTTGTCTTACAACAGGCTGCGGGCCATAAGGAGGGCCGATTTCGCCCACCTCTCCCGCCTGCGGGATCTCAGGCTGCAGTACAACAACATCTCCCACATCGAGGGCGGATCCTTCCTCTTTAACGCCCTGCTGGAGCACCTCAACATCTTCAACAACTCCTTGAGGGCCATCCCCCACAAGGCCTTGCAGCCCCTCGTCAAGTTGAGGTCCCTGGACATGTCCAACAACCTGTACGCCCAGGCCACTCTTGACGATGTCTTCTCCGCCTTCACCAGCCTTGAGAGTCTGTCTCTGGGAGGTCCTCTGGTCCAGAACTTGAGCCGGGGAGACTTCCGAGCCTTGCAGAAGACCCGCTTGGTCAAGTTCGCCATCAAGGCGGGGACCAGCTTAGTTCATTACGAGCCTGGGACCCTGGTGGGCATCCAGACCCGCGAAATGTGGCTTGACATCGCTCTGGATGACAGGCCAGAGATTTTGCCCAACATTCTGCGGGACTTTGCCGGGAGTAGTTTTGCATGCCTCCGCTTCCGAAACCTCTTTGAGTTTAAGTATTACACGGGAACGGAGGACATTTTCCTGGGGCTGAGGGCTATAAAGACAAATAAGCTGGTGTTCTACCGGGGCAAGTTCAATGAGAACCTCTTAAGGATGGCTCTCCTTAACATTCAGGGCTCACCGATTAAAGGCCTGGAGCTGGTGGCTGTTGACTTTGCGCGTTCACCCAGTTTCGTGGATAATGGCACTGGATCCAGCGTGACAGACCTTTCCCTGGATGAACTGGTTCTCTCGTAAGTCCTTTGCCAGGGTTGCGTAAGAGTCGCCAAGAGTGGCGGGAGTGTGGAACGAGCTGCCCAGCCATGCTGTGGAAGCTGATATCCCGGCTTCCTTTAAATAGCAGCTGGATGAGATACTCGGTTCAATTAACTACTCACAGGTTTGCTGGCCCAGATGACCACCTAGTTTGTAACTGTTAACACTTACATTGTTGAATTTCTCTGTCACACACTTTAACAGATGACCACCTGTTTCCCTATTCTTAATGATGCCTTGCTAAATAATTTAGAGGAACAGAAAAATAACACAAAAAGGAAAAAGGTAGCTTCACAAATATAAACAGTCCCTTTCTTGAGGTCCTGTAAGCACCAGCTGAGTTTCCAGTATGCAGATTGCAAAAAGATGTTCTCTTGATAAGCAAGGTGGATACAGTAGGTTCCTGTCTGCTTTCGGTCTTCTTGATTTTCACCAGTTTTGACACTCTAACAGGTTACATCCCCTCACCTGAGTGCTTCAGTCATGAATCATAAATTAATCAAAATGACGCCAGCATCTTTTTATCAATAACCTTCAAGATTTTTCTGACAACCCAAAACTAGACTAGATAAGCTAGAAAAGTATCTTTTGAAGCTGACTGTATATCTGATTTGGCTTAATCTAAAATTATTTTGGGAGAGTTATCTTTCCATGCTGCTTCTGAACAGGGTAAAAGTGTAACGTTGTCGTGTCTGAAACTGGTTTCAATGTACACGAAAGGACCGATTGTGATCTTTTACTTTCCATCTCTTACTGATTTTTGTGAGCAGCCTCATTTAAATTAGGAATTAATGTTGCACTATGCAATGGTTTATTCAACCTCTCTCTTTCACAAGTTGGAACTTGTCTGGTCTTGAGAAAAGATTCTTCACCCTATAGGTGAAGGTGTAACCATCAGCACTCCGTTTCAAATGAGGACATTCTGGTCAAGAGCCCCTTTCGACACACAAATTGTACACATTCACATAATATAGCGTGTATATATATTATACGCGATATTATATAGTGCCTTTAAAGGTGGCTTCTCAAAGCGCTTTACAGAATGACAACAATAAATAAAAGAAAACACCAGATAAATCACAATTACAATATACAGAGGAGACCGTGGATTGTGGGTCTAAGAAAAGCTGAGGGGTGAAGAATGGAACCAGTTCAGTAAAGGCTCTTCTAATGAAGAAGGTTTTGAGTCTGGATTTGAAGGAGTTTAGAGAAGGCGACTCTCTGATATCCTTGGGCAGAGAGTTCCAGAGCTTGGGGGCATAACAGGAGAAGGCCCTGTCACCCATAAAGTGTAGAAGGGCTTGGGGGACAGTAAGGAGAGCAGAATTAGAAGAGCGAAGGTTGCAAGGTGGAGAGTAGGGCGATAATAGCTCAGACAGGTACTGAGGTGCCAAGCCATGCAGAGCCTTATAGGTGAGCATGAGGATTTTAAAGTCCACACAGAATTTGACTGGAAGCCAGTGCAAGGTCTCCAGGATAGGAGTAATGTGATCACTTGCGCTGGACCTGGTCAGGATTCTGGCTGCTGAATTGTGGACATACTTTAGTTTGTTCAAAGTAGATTTAGATAACTCGGAAATGGTTCAGTTCTCGATGCTAATGTGGCTAACGAGCTGGGGTTTTTCTTCCTTCGCAGCGACATCAGCAACCCAGACATCCTGCGCTTTGACTGGCGCTTCACCTGGTTCAGCAAAGTCCGCAACCTGACCATCAGGAATGTCAACTTCAACTTCGTGCCGTGCGATGCCTGGGACGAGTTGAGGAACGTGGAGGTCATGACCATCGCCAACAACCGGCTGCGGGACAACTTCCTGTACAACCAGAGGTGCACCTACAAGGACTCCATGCCCAGCCTCAGGACTTTCGATGCCAGCGCCAACGAGCTCACCAGCCTGAGTACGCTGACAGCGCTCATGGGCGAGTGGCGCCAACTCAGGGTGCTGGACCTCAGCTACAACAAGCTTGGCTCCCTGGAGGAGTCCTGCACTTGGAGGCAGAACATCACCAAGATGATCCTGCACCACAACACCTTTGACCGCAGTGTCTTGGACTGTTTGCCCACCACGCTGGAGTACCTGGACCTGTCCTACTCCAGCCTTGACCAGCTGGACATGACCTACTTCCAGAAGGCCACCAGCCTCCGGGTTCTCCTCCTCAGCGACAACAAGATCAAGTTCATCCCCTCCGGCTGGAGCAGCCCCAGCCTCTGGTCCCTGGTGGTGGACGGGAACTCCTTCGGCCTCATCAACACCGGCTCCTTCCACAACATGCCCAGCCTGGCTTTGCTGAGAGCGGGCAACAACCCTTACCACTGCACCTGTGACCTCCACCACTTCTTCCAGGAGACCCTCGCCAGAGGGACGGTCAACATCACCGACTGGCCGGACGACTACATCTGCTACCACCCCGAGCCCTTGCGGATGACCTCTGTAGACAGGTTTTCGCCCGGGCGGCTGGCCTGCGACGTCAGGCTGGTGGTCGCGATCTCGGTGGTCATCACTGCCATCGTGGTGCTGGTCATCGTGCTGCTCTGCTACGCCTTCGATGTGCCCTGGTACGCCAAAGCCACCTACCAGATCCTGAGGGCCAGGTATCGGGCTAGACAGGAAGGAGACCTCCTGGGGCGGGACTTCGCCTACCACGCCTTCGTCTCCTACAGCCACTCGGACGCAGAGTGGGTGCGGGATCAGCTCCTTCTCCGCCTGGAGAGCTGCGAGCCCCCTTACCGCGTCTGCATCCACGAGAGGGATTTCATGCCGGGGAGGTGGATCATTGACAACATCATCGAGAACATCGAGAACAGTCGCAAGGTAGGGGGCAACCTTCTCGTCCCGCTCCGGATACGTCACGCTCGGTTCTTCTGCTCCGTTTTCGGGGCTCCCCAGTCAGATGCATTAACCCGAAGCCCTGGTTTGGGGGGGAAGCAGGTCCTGGGTTGGCTCGCTCTTGCAGAAACCCATTTTCCCAGGAGAGTTCTCTAACCAGGGTGATAGGAAGTGGTGGGGGGGAGTATTTAAGTGGTGCGCAGTCCTAAACGCCTCGGGCTTCTACTGTGAGCTTCAGAGAGACAGCCGCTCCAGCTGGAGCTTTCCACACAAGAAACAATCGCAGTAATTGTAATAGTTTGAGGCTGAAGTTGTGTACTGAATAAAATCGGTGACCAAGCTTAAAATGGACATCACTTCGACCACCTGTCTAGTCATTCCCTGCATGTATTATAAAAGCAACATTTTTATTTTTTGTTATTTCTTCCTTATCAGTTAGTTTCATTTCCAGATTTGCAATCATTAATCCAGCTCCAGACAAGACTGGAAAATGATTAACTTACTATTGTTTGGGTTTTTTTTTCCTGAAAAGCATGTAGTCTCACCAGTCCTAGAAACCAGCTAACAGCTCAAGTCCACAAAGAGCATTATGTTGTATGAAGAAAAACATTGAAACTTGGAAAAGGAACAAGGCTTAGAGATTTTCTTAAACTATCACCTGACTCGGATGACATGATATTACACAATAGTTTGGGAGTGGAACAGTCTTCCACTTACTCTGTTTGTTAGCAGTTCCGTCCATAATACTCCCCCCTTGTCCTGCTTGTCTCCAAGGTCATCTTCGTGCTGTCCCACCACTTTGTCAACAGCGAGTGGTGCAACTACGAGCTTTACTTCGCCCAGCAGAGAGCCATCGGGAAGACCTTCCAGGACGTCATCCTGGTGGTCAAAGAGGCCATTGACCCCGACTCCTTGCCCAGCAAGTACTGCAGGCTGAAGAAGATGCTGAGCACCAAGACCTACCTGGAGTGGCCGGAGGAGACCCAGAGGCGCGCCTTCTTTTGGGCCCAGCTGTGCAGCGTCTTGGGCAAGCCCACGCTCCGGGGTGAGAGGCAGGGGAGCCGGAAGGACAGGTCCCCATCCTCGGATTGGGAGCTGATGACAGAGCTCCCCCTAGAGGAGGAAGTGGGGCCTAGCGGCCAAGCGGAAGCTGCAAGTGTCTCTCAGAGTGTGGCTGGGGACCTTGACAGTGGGCCCTCGGTTGTCCAAGTTCCTGTGTGATAGCAGAGGTTTTGACTTCCAGCACTGCGTTTGTGCTTTCCAGCAGCTCTTTCTGGGACCTAATTTTGTTGTTTTTTTTTCATTGAGGTATCGATCTGTTTAAGTATAGCACTGAAGCATACAATACAATAGTATAAGTTACAGACTTTGCAGGAGAACCATCTCAACAGCTGGTTACATTAATACAAGGAAGATGACTTCTCAGACTTTGCATGTAACATTTTATGAACTTCGTTTATGATTTTTTTTGATGAAATCCTATTCTCATTACTACCTTGCAGTCTGATCGCTTCATATCTCAGAAGCAAGTCTAGGCCTGGTTCGTTCCTGGGTGAGAGACCATTAAGGAAAAGACGTGGCTGCTGCACTCCTGTTGGTTGACCAGTAGGTGGTGCTTTTCCTTCTGGATCAGAATATCCAAACAAGTATCCTGGAAAGATGACTGGACTGGGGACATTGTGCTGTTGGAGGTGCTGTCCTCCAGATTGTATGTTGATTATTGAATGTCCCGTGGTGCTGTTAGTAAGGATTGCAATCCCTCTTTGAGCCTGCTCAGTCTGGCCTCCCTTAATGTCCTCCTTCATTCAGCTGATGAAGAAATTTCCTTAGTTCCTTAGTTCTCTGCCAGTTCTGCTGAAACCAATGACTAAAGAGTGAGGGGACCTATTTTACTTAAATGTTCGAAGTATTCAAAATCGGACCTCCTCAGAATCAACACTGACACGTGAGCCAGAGGAGGCAAGTGGAAGCTACAGGTCACTTTAAACTCGGAACGGGAGATGACTCTTTACACCAAGGGTTGTGGGAGTCTGGAGCAAGTTAAACTTTTGAAGCTGCTAGCCAGGTTTCCTTGAAGACAGTTCTGCTACGGATGAATGAGTGACAAGCGACGCAGCGAGCGTGCTGGTCTGAATGGGCGCTTGGCGCTTTTGAGCAGGGGGCCGCGGGGCGCTGAGGTCTTGCTCTGTGCTGATGCTGGGGGTCTTGCAGGAAGGGACCACACTGAGGGTTACCATTCAGGAATGTCGGGTGTTGAATGAGCAAAGGTTGAAGGCCCTTCCCATGTGGGTACGTAAGATGTCTGGGGATCCAGCGTGCCTCTTCCTCAAGCAAAGAGAAGAATATGGTCGGTATCGGTGCTCTGCTCCTCGGGACCCAGGATGCGAGCCGGGAGTGACCTGCGGGCTGCACTGTGTGCCATCAAAACGAACAGGTGTCTCTGTGACGTGCCCTTGCTGCCAGAGGCCAATGTGCTTGAGCTGGAGGGGCGTAGTTCCTGTCTTCTCCTGTAGGCCCCTGTCCTTACTCATCCCGCCGGCTGTAGCTCAGAGCAGCACAAGCGATATAAAAAGTACAGCCGGCCTCATGACATCCGGTGCTGATTTCAGGAAGCATTTCTCTTTCCTTTCAACAGTTGTTTTTAATTTAGCCAGATTTGGTGAGGATAAATTTCTCTCCCTCTGTTTAAGCTTCTTCTCAATCTGGTTCGACTGTCAGGGGTTCTTATAAAGGCTTTTTACCTACATTGGTCCCAACCCCACCACTCCCCATCTTCCAAAAGTATGTCAAGTGAGATATTCTGGGGTTTTTTTTCCCTGCTTTGAAATGTTTACCGATTGATTACGGGGAAAGCTGTAGGAAAGGGAGTGGAGGAATTTTGCTTGAGAGCAAAAACAAATCCTTTTGATTGGCAAGTCGTCGACAGCGGGACAGGTTTGTGTCTCTGACTGGCCTTACAGTTGAACTTTAAATAGTACAAGAAAATCAAAGTAAATGACGAGCAGGCCTTGATGTCCATCACTGAAAATACAGTTCTCAGTGAAGAAGACCTAAAGCTGTACAGTCTAGCCCAGTGGTGCCCGGTGACCCGCCAGCTCCTGCTGGGTTTGGTTGCAGCCGAGCTCTCAGTTCCACAGACCAACCCTTCGTTGACTTAATAAGAATAAGATGAATTTGAGCTGTGTGTTCCCAGCTCTTACACAATGTTGTACTTTGTAACCCCAAGCTTGTGAGGAGTTACAAAATGCAAATATTCCAATTAAGCAGCTGCTCAATTAAGGCCTCAATTATCTGAAGAAGGTGGGCTGGAATGAAAACCAGTAGGTGTGGGGTCACCGGAACCAGGATTAGGAACCATTGGGGTAGAGCAAGCGTCTCCACCTCATTCCATTTAGCCTTTCTTGCCTGTTTCTAAAGGTCAGGAACACTTGGACGTCTTTCAGCGCAGTACCTAGCTGTCTGTCAGATCCCTTTTTTACAAGTTTATTTCTTTAATTCCAAGATTCCAGGCAATGGGTGGGGTCCGCTGTATTGTTCCAAGGCTGCATGCTTGAGTTGTAAGAGTAACAAGGCTGGTCCTGTCAAGCAGGCAGTTGGCAATGAAGGGCACATTATTAAGCTCATTATAAAATTTGTGCAAATTATATGCGTGCTTGCGGTTGGGTTTGGTTCCTCTTAGACATTGTTTTTTCTGTTACGTGAACACATTCGCCAAAGCTGACTCAGTATTCCGTTAAAGGCAGCTCCTAGTAGCCGTGTTCCCGAACTGGGGAAGGAAGTGAAAACAGATTGGAGGGCTGAAGTCAATAAATGTGCCTGGTTTCAGGGGCTCAGCCAGAAAAGCCGCCCGCTTGGAGGTTTGTGGCCCAGCCATCGCGGGTTCGAGGCTGGTTCACACGATTGCATGCTACCATTGGCATTAGGCAGTGAGCGCGCGCTCTCTGAGCTCTCGCCAACACGGCGACTTAACAGCTGCCTCCAGGATTGCGGTGATGTCACTGAGGGACGCACCTCTCCTCCAATCAGGGCGCACTCCCCTGTCAGGCAACACAGAGCTGCCAGCATGTCTCCAGGCCGAGGAGAGTCCGATTGGAGGAGCCGGTCTGCACATCCTCAACATCCCAGGCTCCCTGTCCCGTGCCGGAGTCTCACAGGAACTGGCAAGTCCAAACTGGGTGGACGTAAAATTAAAGCTGTTCAAATGAACTCCTACTGTGAATGTTGTGTCCTAGAAGTGTTATACTTGTGCACTGACCATGATTTTCTTGTGTTTCGGGTAAAATATGTCTTTTTTTTTATCCATGCAGTCGTTTACTGGGGTTAGGTATTGTAATTAATTAATAATAAAACGGGGATGGTAGCCGGTGGATTTTGCTACACCTGGTGATCTGCAGCTGTAGAAGCAGCACCAGGTTTTTGTTGACAGCTGTTACCCCTTTCTTTTGGGGGTGCACGACACCTTTGTGGAGCGCCAGGGCTGGTTGGGTCGCTGGAAACTCTGGGTTTTTTGGTGCCGGTTCTGTTGGGGCGGATCGGTCTCCTAACTGAACGGAGTGGCAGTGAAGGAACTGGCCCCACTGTAGGGCGCCAGCTGCCAGCCAGTTAACCCGATCGCGCAGTCAGGGCAGGGCAGCCCCCCGGGGGGACGAGCTGCTCCATCGGATGCTCAATGTGCAAAGCTGGAGTCACATGCCTGCTCCCCCACCTCCCAGAAAAAGCCCCCCCGGCAATTTCAAGTGGGAGACGACAAATAAAAATCCACAGGGTGCCTTCAGGTGGCATTGGCACTAAGAGGTGGGCAGAGTTCTGTCACTGTGCCCATGCATGCCTGGGTATCGCCCCCTTCTGTTGAAACAATGTCATCTATGGGCAAATTTATGCTGTATGTGTAAATTAAACGTCTTGCGTTAACTCTGATCTTTTTCTGTTTTTTTTTTCTCTTCTTTCGCAAGAAAAGAGGCAAGATAAAGATACCCCATGTGAACAGAAAATGAAAGAGGGGAGGGATGGGCAGTTAGTGAAGGAGTGGGACTCTGAGGGTGCTCACAGGTTTTCGAGGCGCACTTTATAGGGACAGTGAACCCCACTTGTCTCGCCCCTTCCCCAGCTTTGTAAAATGGAGTGTTTTGCTGCCTTTGTGAAGTGTGTGACCACTAAGATGCCCAAGTGCATTCAAGTTAAAAAAGTTCAGACAGTCCTTACACTCAACTCGAGCTTGTTTAATGAATAGGCACACTCACCACACAATCCTGATTTGCGAGATTTTTTTGTTTTTGTTTTCTAAAAATAATTTGGAATAGATAAGATTGCAACACTGGGTTTAGATATCCTAGAGTCAAATGCCTGAACAAAAGGACTGGAGTCTGGGCTATGAAAGACAGATGAAGCAGTCGTCTCTCTGGATCAGGGCCAAGTGAATCTCAGTAATTTGATCATTGCTATCACTTGATCAGTCTGTCCAGGGCATCGAGCGCTAATGATCGATCACGTGGCTTTAGGCTTTGGGTTTCAAGAGCTGAGGAAATGGGTTGGACTCTGCGTAGTCATTGGATCCAGTCAAGGTTTTATGTTAAGCAAATTACACTAAGTGAAGGCAACAAAACCCTGATGTTAGATATTGTTAACTTTACTTACATCTCGTACTGTATACACATGACGGAAACGATTAATCGGCGATTAATCAAAGCCACAGTCTTGAAGGATGGGCAGTGGCACATGAGAATTATTTGTCTCGCCAGTAGAAGTCCTACACTCTCGGGCTATAAAGACCTCTTCAGCAGTTTTGCAACAAGGAAAGAGGCTTGGTTGGAATTTAAGAGGGTAACCCTTTAAGAGGGTACTTAAACACAGCGCTACGTCTTATTTTACGACTTCCTGGCAATCTGATATTGTCGTCCACTTCCGTAGTATATTGCCCAATCTTCTCGAATTGCACTTTTCTGTTCCTGGTAAGGAAAAGGAAGGATATAATGCAAAGAGAGTGAGGCACGTCAATCAGGCTGTTAAAGAGTTTCAAACCTTTACACGGTCCTGTGACCATAAATATGGAGCAAAAAACTGACACTCCAAATGCTCCCACAACATGGTAACTTTTGTTTTTAAATAAGTTTTTATTTAAACGCCAGAAATACAAAAAAAGGAGACAGCATAATGAAATACATACAGAAATGGGCACTTGAAAAACTAAAAATGATACTTTTTACATATTTCCATCGTACAGTAGGTCTTGCCTTTTGATTCTTTAAATTTCGAATAGAATGTAAATAGAAAAGGAATTCAACTTGAAAAGCATGAATAGAGGGAACAGTGTTAGACCATTTACATTTGTGAATAATGTGGCCAAAATAATTCACAACATGGTAGCCGGGCTTGTCAAGCTCACGGGGGATGACGTCATGGGCTACCAGCGGCCCGTTCCTGACCAGCAGCTGCCGCGGGGACGAATTTAAAACTGAGGTGAGTTTCATTTTGTTAAACACCGCGTCATTCTGGGTCTTGATTTCTTCCCCGTTTCGTTTGGGACAGCGTACAGATCGGCAAAAAGAAAGGGAAAGTAGGTAGAGATAGGGGAGTTTACTATTTCCTAGAGATAAGGGAGTATGCGTCAGTCTCACAGGACACGTCCAGTACAGCACAGCCCAACAGATAACAGCACGCAGTGTAGAGGGAACATTTTTCTGGTAGGAAAACAGGAAATAATATATAATGACAGTATGTACGGACAATAAACCGCGCAATAAATACAAACACAACGAGAATCAGTACGAAAAACCCGCAAATAATACTTGTGCATTTGCACGAGTGTTTATTACTCTTGATATAAAATGATTTGGTGACATTATATATATTATATTTATGAAATAGCCCATAGGAGTACAGCACCATCATCGATCTCCTTTAAATCTTAGCATCGTAAAAACTGGATGGCGTATCTCAGAGACTATTATGTTGACTTCTTTACTCACGTTTATGCACTGTAATACATAATCTAAAATACTAGTTACATAATTACTACAATGACGAGAAGCAAATCTTAAATAGAGCTATAAACATCTATTTATTTGAACTTTATTGCCCACTGAAAACCGAATTCCCTCCTTGCACGGCCAATTTAAACCGCAGCGTGTGGGCTCCTCTTAAGGCTGAGCTCTGCTGATCAGCAGCTCCGGTGCCGTATGAAACATCCCCACTAGGTGGCGCCTTCACCTCACTTCTCTCTTGGCGCCCTGCTTTTTTTTTCTGTAGTCCGAGGTCACGCGAATGTAGTTCAGGGTTTTGCAGTGTTAAATGCAGCTTTTGGATAAAAATTGGAAATGGACTAAGACAACTGAAAAACTCTCCGACTAAGCGCCCCCTTCTTCTAAATTGCTTTGATGTCGTGAAGAACTTGGTTGGGTCGGACCAAAGATTTTTTCAGACTGTGCATGGTAGTGAGCCCTTGTCATAAGTCACCCTAAATCACCCATTTAAAGATTAGAAACATCTAAACCATTGATCACTTAAGCAAGCGTCCCACTGAAGAGAGCACTGCTAAGGATTTGTGTTCCTTGCTCTCTGTCGGGATCAATCTCTATCACTAACGTAAGTTTTAGTAATGTGAGATGTGTTGTGTTGTTGGCTTGCAAACGTCCGCAAGATGTTTTTTCACACGACTGAATGTGAGAGCAGGTAAAATTCGACAGCAGGATTTCCGGGGATCTGGAGTTCTGAGAAATCTCGGCACAGGCGATACCCCCATCTTTTCTGCTCGAACAGGGGTGAGTTGTTGAAACTGTGCGTGTTGCCGTGGGTAATATTTCTCCAAGAACATTTTAGCATACGTACGTATCTGTCAATGAAGAACTCTAGGATCAATAATAGGTTTTAACAAACAAGAAAAGATCAGCCCAGGAGATTTGATCATCTGCGCTAAACTGGAGAGTTGCAGTTTGACGCAATAGTAACCAGAAACCGATATTCGTTTGCAAGAACATCTGGAGTAGCCATGTGTTCGGGTGAGTGAGTGCTCTTTCGTCACGTTTACAGGCATCTCGACTCGAGAATTGTAGTTTAATAATTATTATTATAGTTTGCAGATGAGTTCATCATAACTCGGGCACGCGGCGCATGAGCGCATGAGACGGGAGGAAATTCACCATTCGCCAGCCTGAAGAGGCCCTCGGAGACGGGCTGGGGCATCACAAAAAGAGCCGAACCTGTCAGCGTGTAAGCCCGGTGTCGTATCCTAATCAGACTCCCCTGCACGCCTGTACCCCCGCCCCCTCCGAAGTGGACACGTGAAAAGTCCCCCCTTCCTCTCTCTCTCGAGGGACGCACGATTTCTCTCACCGTCCGCATACTAAACGATTTATGGGATTGATGAAAACGCACAGGCCTGTTGTGGGCTTTCTCCCCCGTCTCGCGTATCGATAACGTAAACTTTTATTGTTAATCGTACGGGGGGGGGGGGGTGATTTTTAGATTTCTCGAAGTCCTAGCAGACGCATTAAATACAGCGAGAGGCCGAAACAAACAACGAGATGCTTCTTGATAGCGGTGATTGACGACGGCAGAAACGCGCGCCGTCTCTATAGATATCATTAGTTATCCCGGAAAGTTTTGAGGAGGGCAGGTGGATTTCGGACGGGGGGTGGGGATACCATTTTCCAGGTTTATGCTGCATGGGTAGGTCGCCAGTAATCCCGCTATGTGGGTTTGTTCACATCGCATGTACAGGGGATCACGCCGGCGTGCGTCTTTTGCTGTTTTCACAGTGCATCATTAGCCGAGGCCCCGGTATCGTCACTGTCTGCTGTAACGGGAGTCGACACACGGCCTCACCCGCTGGACTGACGGGGACCAGATTGGCGGAATCGATAAGGGGTTAAAAATACCCAGCCAGGACAATTGATTTTCTGGTTCTCCCGTTCCGGGCGTAACGGGAGACGAGGGTTTTCGGTTTCCCGGACAAAAGCGAGGTCGCGTCTCTCTGTCCTCCCCCCCCGAGGTCACTCCACCAGAGCTTCTCCCGGGCCCTGGTCGCCTTGGCAACGCGCCGCGGACCAGGTGACTGATTTTTTTCCGCGCTCCCCCCCCCCAGGTGGGCACGTGGGCTGTCCCGGTACAGCAGTACAGACTGCAGGGAAAGAGGAGAGGTTACAGAAGCCGGACTGAATTATAACATCGATGAAATATAATAATAGGAGAGCTTTGCAGTCTTTCGCCACGGCGTGGACATCTATCCAGTAACCCTTTTTTTTTTTCCTTAGAATCACGCCGCAGTGTCGGTTTACACGTATTAATTGAGTTACACAGTAGTTTTGTCTCGCTGGGTAGCCATCCTACATTAGAACACGGCATATGAAGTGCTTGTGTTACCGAGTGTGTTTGTGTTGTTGAGAGGAGTGGAATGGAGACGACTTTAGGACTTTGTGAATAGAAGCCCAGTTCCTGCCAAGAATAAAAACCCTTTCGCTGGTCTGTGTGAATCTCTCCGCCTTCATTAACACGCTTATGATTATACACATTACTTGACCAACGACTTACAAATGTTTTCAGTCTTTACAACGGTGTAAATAGACCTACTGGAAAGGGTCTGTCAGGGAATTACTCAGTATTTGTTATAGGAGACGCCTGGCTTATATCATATTTATATATATATTCATATATCATGCTATTAGGATGTTTATCCGGAGACTAAAACTCCTGATTCGCCGCTTTCCTCTTTTTTATGGAAATAAGTTCGATTGGATTTACTGATTATCTGCTGTTCTGACGTGTTTTTTTCTAACTGGAATACTTAAATATTTTTTTACCGTCTGAATTGAAACCGGAAGAACCGGTTCCCTCGGCAGGCACTGTGAAATCGTTTTACTGTGTCATCAAGTAACAGCTGCTATACTGAATTGCCCATCCACGCACTTTCTAACCAATTCACGGTCGCGGGGGAGCCTATCCCAGCAAGCACCGGGCACAAGGCAGGGTGCAGCCTGGACGGGACGCCAGTCCATCACAGGACACACACAGGCATACCCTCACACCAGGGCCAGTATTCCCAGAAGCCAATTAACCTCCCAGCATGTCTTTGGACTGTTGGAAGAAACCAGAGCACCTGGAGGAAACCCACGTGAACAGGGGGACAACATGTGGGGCCAGCAGCCATCTCACCCTGCAACTCACAACTGGTAACCCACTGAAGCTCAGCAGGTGTGAGCCTGGTCAGTACCTGGATGGGAGACTCCTGGGAAAAACTAAGGTTGCTGCTGGAAGAGGTGTTAGTGGGGCCAGCAGGGGGCGCTCACCCTGCAGTCTGTGTGGGTCCTAATGCCCCAGTATAGTGACGGTGACACTATACTGTAAACAGGCGCCGTCCTTCGGATGAGACGTAAAACCGAGGTCTTGACTCTCTGTGGTCATTAAAAATCCCAGGGCGTTTCTCGAAAAGAGTAGGGGTGTAACCCTGGTGTCCTGGCCAAATTTCCCATTGGCCCTCACCAATCATGGCCTCCTAATAATCCCCCTCTATGAATTGGCTTCATTACTCTGCTCTCCTCCGCACTGATAGCTGATTCTGGCGCACTATGGCTGGTGTCGCATCATCCAGGTGGGGCTGCACATTGGTGGTGGTGGAGGGGATCCCCATTACCTGTAAAGCGCTTTGAGTGGAGTGTCCAGATAAAGCGCTATATAAGTGTAAGCAATTATTATAAATTATTATTAACATACAAACTCCACACAGACAGCACCTCCGGAATTGAACCCAGAGCCCCGTGCAGGAGTGCTAACCACTGCAGCGCCGTGCCTCCTGCTACCCTGAGTTTAATCTTTATGACTGCCAACATTCAAGTGCAAGTTTTTTTTATTTGATTTTAATGGGGGGGGGACCTCCGGGACATTGAACATAAAACGATTTACAAGCAGACGTGGCAGAAACGGGAAGATGTAGTTAATATTCCAGGGATTCAAAAAGGAAGGATCCGTGTTTGTGTGAGAGATTTGTTTTTTTTTTTAATGTTAATTCTTCGATCTGTATTTGCGTTCTGTGTTTGTCAAGAGTCGGGCCGGCTTCGCGTCGCTGTTGTTTAAAGAGGCATCTCAGCTTCGTGTATAAAGAAAGCCCTGTCTGCTCATCTCCCACTCTTTCCCCACTGCTCGCCCGACACCCACAACCATGCCCGTTTTCCAGCTTTTCTCGTCCTCTGGGCTGCGAGACGACCTTTCTGGGGGTGTGAACCATGCCAGATTTTTATAGAGGGCAGATCACGTCAAATACAAATTAGCTTCAATTTAAGCCATAAACCAGGCTTCTACTGTATAAACCTCGGGAGATATCACTAAATATTTGAGGGGACATCAAACCAGACTCCTTTTCCAGAGGCAAAAAAAAACTTTAACTCAGGCAAGTACAACAACTACTTTGTAAAGTATGTTAGGGTCAACCTAACGTGTAAAGTAATTCGTCGTGCATTCTTAATTTTACAGCGAAATGACAATCAATATATAATGGAAAAAGGAAAGGTTTATTCCAGGCTGAAAAGAGAAGGAAAGAAACACAACGTTTCGGCTGTGGAACCTCCTTGTTCCTTTGCAGCCTAAAGATGCTAACGCCAGCTACCTACTTGAACTACAAAACAACATAGGAACAAGTAATAGGTTTATTCCATGCTGAAAAAAAGAAGAAAGAGAACACAACGTTTCGGCCGTGGAGCCTTCTCCAGGTGTGAGAAGAAGGCTTCACCTGAAGAAGGCTCCACGGCCGAAACGTTGTGTTCTCTTTCTTCTTTTTTTCAGCACGGAATAAACCTATTACATGTTCCTTTGCAGCCTACGCATGCTGACGCAGCTGCCACACCTGAACTACAAAAAACATATAATGCTATCTCCCTTCTCTTTCATTCCATAGCTATGGACTAGCTGAGGTTTGAAGAACTGACCAACGTCAGCGAGTGCTGGTCAGGGGTGCGAGAGCGGGCTTTGAGACCCAGCCGGGTGTAGCCGCGGTTCAGCACCGCCGACTGCAAGACGAATTGTTTGCCTCGTGCAAATAATTGCTCGGCCGCTTGTCACGCGGAAGAGCTCCGCCGGGAGTCACGCGGCGATGGGCTCACGGTCTGCTCTTCTTCTCGGGCCCGAGCACAACACCGAGGCGCAGACGAGCAGGGGGAGAAAAATGAAATGGAGCCAGTCCAATAGGGAGACAGGTTGACTTTAGCTCGAGAACCGGGACCCTGGGATTAGCGCCTTCCAAATACAGCGTCGAGAGTGTTGGACCACCGCGACTGGTCGGAGAGGAGTCAACTGAAAACGCCTGAACTCTTCTTGAATGTTTTTTTTTCTGAATATATTTTTAAGTGCTGCTCTGAAGCGCTTCGTCAGTAGAAAAGTCGCGCTTTGCATGATGGGATGCGCACAGCGCGCTCTCATTGAATGTCTGTCAAAGTCCATCTTATACCGCGGGCGCCGACTATCAGCAATGATGACCGGCTTTGCCTTCTGAACACACACACACTGATCGCTGAACTCTTCCGCATAAATAAAGTAAAATAAATAATTAAGTAAAATAACCAGAGGCAGGGAAGGGAGGGAGAAGGAACACAGTTGAATTCAGTTCTCGTGAGAAGGCGTCCTGCGCTCAGCACAGCTGATGGAAGCGGAGTACAGTTCACCTCCGCTGGCTCACTCAAAGAAAGTAGCCTCTGACACATGGCTCGACTCCTTACTGTCAATCCAAAACTCATTCGTGCCTCCAGAACCTGTTTTTATTTTATATGCAAATACCAGACTTTTCCGTTTTAATCTTTGTTGTTTTCCTGCTGAGGGGACTCGGGATTCAGGTCTCGCCGGCGCTCTGCTTGTGCAACACGAATGCTCACCTCGTGTCACCTGAGACGGAGGGCAGCAGCTGCTGAGCCTGTTTGCATAGCTTTGCGTGTCCCGGGGGCGTCAGTGCGCCAGGCCTGCCACAGCGACGGTCGCGCGGACAGCCCCGGCACAACGGGCGTCGTGGATTCCCGTGAAATTGTCAGAACTATAGATTCATGGACACCTGTATGGGGCAAGCAAAGGCAGGGTACCCCCTGGCCAGGACACCAGTGCATCGCAGGGCACACACACACACAGCAGGGCCAATGTTACCAGAAGCCAATTAACCCACCAGACTCCTCCCACAGTCTTTGGGCTGTGGGAGGAAACCGACGCCAACCCAAGGAGACCATGCAGACTCCACACAGACAGCAGCCCCAGCGCTGCCTGGGTGGGAGGCTGAGCCCAGCGCCACCGTGCTGCTGGAAGCCCTCAACGCGTCAGTGGCAATTTCCTTAGCTGAACAAGACACCGGCCTGGTCAGTCAGTTTCCAGGAGCGGACGGAAGGAAGGGCCTGGAATGGAGGAGGCGATCTTCGGGCTGCTGTCGCACTGTGTAGTACGATGGCGCACCAGGTGTGTGTCCTTTCCGGTTTATAGCTAAAGCGATTTGAATAACCCGGACATCGTTCCGCCGTCGAGACAGCGGGCCACGAGCCGGGGATGTGCCATTCCCCGCGCTCATCGACCCAAGAGAAACGCGCTGTGGAAACCGCGGAAGTGGTCCAAGACAGATCACTGCGTGGGACGGCCTCGACTGCTATAGCAACGAAGACTGCAGCACGTGGGACACGTCCAAGTAGGAGCTCCTAGCAGCGCGCGAAACACTGATTAACCGATTAGATTGCTGTACCACGCCATACTGGTTTGAGAAACTGCGGCTTTTAATGCCTCGTGTTTTGCTATAGCCCCGAGTGACGTTTTCGGAACACCTGCAATTTCCCCCGAGGCTGGCCGAGGACTCATCTAAGCTGTAGAGAGCGCACCTCCCCAAGGAAGCGTGTGAGGGGAATAAGCGAATTGTGTTTACATCGCTCGCAGAATCCCCTCAGCCCGACGGCTCCGACTCCAGCTGCGCTATTTATAGCCGGTGTCATCATTTCCCTGGAAGTCGGCCCCCCTCCCGGGGCGCGAGGAGGAAGGCGTCTCCGTAGCAACCGCCGGTGCTTAGCGTGTTGGAGTGTGGCCCCGGGAGTCCGCAGGATGCGCTCGGCGGTGTTCTGGCCCGCTGGCGGGCTTCGCCAAGGGATTAAAAACCGAGCAGGGAGGGGGGTCGCTCATTGGTAAGCCAAGCGCCGACGTGACGCGTCGATCCTCCTTATAACGCATTCCCACACGTATCATAAAAACGAGAGGAAGTAAATATTCTACCTCCCCTCTGAAATCAACGAGTTTTTTTTTCTGGCGTCCAGGCAGATGATGCAATACGGCATTTTAAATGACACGGCGTCACCTGAAGATATAATCACGATCCTAAACGACACTTTCGGCACGGGGGCAGTCGGCTGCTGGGTCCTGGAGAGCCAGCGCTCTGACGACAGCTCCTACACGGACCTTACACGTCAGCCTTAAATCACCAGTTTGCGCAAAGGCCTGTTACATGTGGCCCCATTTATTAAGGAACGGACAACCGTGGTCACTGAAATCTGGCTGTCCCTTCTCAAATGATCCTTAAACCAGACACATCACCCGCTCCACTCCGGCCATGAAATTAGTTTGTTTTATTTTTTAAAAACCTGACGATTTAAAGATCATCTTAATTATCTCCGGGTCCTATGACCCAGTGGCGTGATGCTGAAAGACTGAAACAGATCGTAATAAGGATCATCGAAAACTGTTTAAGAATTCAGTCCGGTTGCGTCCAAAAAACTTGAACGGTGACTTCGGTGGCGGTTCATTAAATAACTCGATAAAAAAAAACAGCGCCCTGTTTTGGAGAAGCCCCGGCTGACGGGGCTGAACTCAGACGATCAGACGAATAATTTCGTTGTTTTTGTTCCACGCACGGCCGCCGGTGAGGGAGGCGCTTCGCTCTGATTTCTCCGCGCTGATGGGCTCAGGTGCGCTGTTGCTATATAACGGGCTCACCAGACACCTGCGCCCAAAGGTTTCCTGACGTTTGCGAGTTCAGGGCTGCTGCGCTTGTGTGGGTAAGTACGTGTCGCACGACAGCGTAGTTCTCTCTCGTAGTTATCAGGGAATGCGGGTTTGATTAAGCTGGTAGGACGTTATATCGGCGTTGCACGAATGTTCATTTCTAGTTCCAATCGTTGAATAAGTGACCCATTGCATTAGTACGTCTTTTAACGAAATACTGCGTTGATCTGATTGATGGGTCTTCTTTGCCTTTTAATTAACATCTTCGTATTGCTGCTCTCTTTTATTAATATCCTGCGACTTGCAGGAAGAAATTAAAGATTGATAGCTTTATCAGTGCTGTAGTGGTCTGAAATTCTTGTACGGCCTCCAATGTTTTCTCCTGCGACACTAGATCCTTTTGCAACGCTAACAAAAGCGCGTTCCTTGCATTATTGATGCCGGCCCAGCGCTCTGCTGGACGAGAGAAGCGATGGACTGAAAGCCCGTCGGACAGGTGGTTTTCCGAGCCGAGTCGGACGGCTGTGGCGCTCGCTGTCGCTCGAGGGCGACGGATCCCCGCAAGGCGTTTTGTCACGCGCCATACAGCCGGACAACGCCTCGAGGGCTCGTGCCCCTGCGGAGGACGAGCAGCTACGCAGTTTCGCAAGTTGTTAAAACGGGGCCCTTCCGTCCCAGGGCTTGGTTTGCGCGGTTTAATTAGCGCCGGTCTTACTCTGGGGCTAAAAGGAAGTCCAACAGCTGCCGGTCTCGCAATAACGATAAACGTCTGTCGCCCGCAGGTATCGATAATCGTCACCAGTCCAGGATGGTTTCCCAGCTGGAGAGCGCGATGGAGAACCTCATCCGGGTCTTCCACAAGTACTCGGGCAAGGAGGGAGACAAGTACAAGCTCAGCAAGGCCGAGCTGAAGAGCCTGCTGCAGGGGGAGCTCAGCGACTTCCTGGCGGTGAGCGCGGGGAACGCGGCTTGTGCCTTTTTTTGTTTGTTTGTTTTGTTTAATGCGATGAACCTCCTCGGTTTCGAAGCACTCCCGCGCAGCGTGGACATAGCGAAGAGCCGCGTGTTGCTCGGGGTGTGAAAAGCCAGCGTGCGCGCACAGACGCACCCTGCGGGTGTCGCGCATTTCCTCGCGAAAGGTCTTCGCTCTCTCCGCTGCTGAGCAGACTGGGGTGAGGACTACTGCCTTAATGCGCGGCGTGAGCTCCCCCTGCTGGTGGAGTGGGGGTAAGGTAGGTGTTGTGCCTGCAGAAAGGAGACCCGGTTTCCACTGCGCTGCCTTATTGACCAGCCAGGCTGTGGTCTCCTTCGTCTGAGATCTTCATACGGCCTTTAATTAAGAGCTTGGTACCCCCCTCAGTAGCATAAACTCCTCCAGCGGCTCCAGGTCGCCTGACTCCTCTTCCTCCCCGCCTCAGGCCAGTAAGGACCCCATGGTGGTGGACAAGATCATGAAGGACCTGGACGAGAACCGGGACGGCGAGGTGGACTTCCAGGAGTTCGTGGTCCTGGTGGCCGCGCTGACCGTGGCCTGCAATGAGTTCTTCGAGGAGGGCCTGAGGAAGAAATGAGCCTCTCGGGGCCCCCTGGCCTCCAGTCTGTGCCTTTCCTCTAATAAATGACATAACCTTCCAGCTCCAGGCGTCCTTCTCTCTGTGGGACAGGGGGGCTGGGTGTGCTCTATAGGTGGGGGGCGTGACTTGGTTTAAACTGGCCAGGATCTGTTGAGCTGTCTGGCTTTCTCCTAGCAGTTCAGTTGGTGGGTCTCCCAGGCTGTGGGGGCTCCTCTGTTAGACGGCCTCATGGGTTTGAACAGGGGCCCCTGCCTTGTGGCAGCTTGTATCCAGCAGCCAGAGCCAATGCGCAGCCCTGCTGCTGCTCTCCAGGCTGGGGGGTGCTTCTACTGAAGCAGCGAGCGATTTCACCTGAGACCAGGCTGGTGCCTCCACCTGCTGGTCAGAATGTGGTAGTGCAGGAAAACTTTAAGAAAAGGGATGGAGCCCTAGGAGATCAGGTCCAATGTTTCACTATTGAGGGGTGGGAATCCCTGAACTGGTTCTCAAGACCCTTCAGTTAAAGATCTTTTAATAGGGGCTCATTTAGACTCTGAAGGCACTATGCCCTGCTACTCCTGGAGTGTCTGGGTTTATGCCCAGGGCCTACTGCCCCTTTATTTAGGCTTGTCAAATGCTGGAATATATCCAAGCAGTTGTAAGATACAAATGCTTGTATGGAGTCTTCTCTTTACAGAACACTGAAGCAGGTTAAATGCCAAAGGTTTAGTGGGGTAGGCTCAGTCATTTCCAGCTGTTCTTTTGTGAGATGAGTGGCACAAGAGGGAGTGATGGTGTCTTCTTGCACTGGGACCCTGGGTTCAATTCCAAACCTGGGGTGTGTTTGCTAGGTCTCCTCCCACAGGCCAAAGGCCTATTTGTGGGTTAATTGGCTTCAATAAAATGGGTCCTGGTGTGAGTGTGGGGGTGCTCTCTGATGGACTGGTGTCCCATCCAGGATGTACCCTGAGATAGGCTCAGGCTCCCCTGTACCCCTCAACTGCCTGAGGTGGTTAGACGAAAGGGAAAATTCTGGGGGGTGGGGCTGCAGGAGAAGACTCCTGAGTCAGAACAGTCCAACACAAAAAGTACATCCTTGTATCAAGATGTTTATTTTGGTTTCACAGTTGTCATACATAACAGGTGGGGTGGATCTCCATGGTTACAATGCGCTCATAATCACAGTCACACACATTGCAAATGATGCTGTGCCAAGAGAGCTATTCTTTGTACATGAAGGGGAAAAGTCACATATGCCACGACTGTTCGGAGCTGCACTCTGTAACAGAATTGAAGGTACAGGTACACATCTACATCAGTCTAGAGCGAACGTTATGGGTTACCAAACACCTCGTCTCCTTCTCCTTCTCTGAGCTCACATGAAGGGTCCTTTTCCAGGACCATGTGAGAACATGGGTCATCCCCTGGTACGTTTTTCTTCAGGGTTTAGACCAGCTTGGTGAGTATCTGCATTTTTAATTCGGAATTACAGTTTTAACACCCCCTCCCCAGGAATCGCCAGCCATTTCTGCACCTACAACTGCTTGACCGAGTGTTGACAAAGAGGACTTGCAGGCCCCTGTGGCAGAGATACTGGTCTCCTCAGCGCCCTGCACGACTCCCTCTGCTGTCACTGCAAGTCCCCTGCTGTTGGGGAAGGCCCCAGTTCCCCTATGTGCCCAGGGGCACTGTCACCATCTGAGGATCCCCAGCCCCAGGCCCCCCAGGCTTCTCTCTTGAAGAGAGCCCTTGAGCATAGGTGGCAGACGTCACCCAGCAGCGATCCTTCTCAGCGGGAAGCACATTGTCTCCCAGAGTCCGGTCAGCTTTTTCAAACCGTCCAAGTCCGCTCCGGTGTAGCGGGGGCGACACCGGGAGGTGGGAAAAGCCACGGATCCGAACAGCACGGGTGAGCGATCCAGCTACCGCCGGGTCTCCTGTGCTGCTCTTGCACGACAAGCGCAGGAGCACAGCCCGAGCCAGTCGTCTCCAGCTGCCGTCTGCGGGGATCCTTTCCGATTCCTTGTGCCCGGCGGAGAGAATTTACCAAGACGGAGGGCGAGTCATTTCCGGGCTCAGTCCCAAGGTAAGATTTTAAAGATCGTAGTGGAGGTTTGATGGAAAAATAGCTGCAGGAGTGCTGGTGAGTCCCCAGGGACTGCAGCGAAGAGATGTCAGATTAAGGGTTTTGTGTGGTCTGATTGCCTTGCCAGGCTAATCCCAGTTTTGTGTCAAATTCTGCAGAGAGATGCTTTAGTGAGGGAAGCGAAGACGCCCAGAGCTGTTTGCTGAATCGTCTCCTCTACTTCTGAAAGTATCCTTTCAGCTTTTCTTAAATAAGGAGGGCACTGATATCAATTCACAACACCCCTCCATCATTTCGGCCTGAAGTCCGAGGCCGCTTCACGCCAGCCGAGGTTTTAAATCTGACTCGTGGAGACGCGCAACGGCTCAGCCCTAAAGGAGTGTGATGTACAACTTCTTGTTTTTTGCCTTTTATTTCCTAGAAATTTCACACCCCCTACTACAATACCAAAGTACAAAAATAGGGAAACTAGGCCTGTACAGGATTATGTAAATAAGACCAGAGAGACCATGAACAACGTAGCTAGAGGCAAACAACCGCAAAAAAAAAAAAAAAAAAGAGAATCCAATTTTTAAGTTAAATTCCCACAGTTACCCTGAGTCATAGTCCCCTCCCCCTGTAGTCCTGGTACTACCCAAATTTTTTGGTGACTGGAGAGAAACTGAAGGCCATGGGTCCACCATTTTGGCTCTGGTAGGGGTTATTTGACTATTACAAAAGGCATGGGGAAGAACCAAAATGGCAGTCCAACATGCTGTCGTCACCTTGTTCGTCTCAAACACCTGGGTGTGGTCATGTTCGCCGGACATTCTCACCACTCCCAGCCTTCAGCCCCTGCGCTGTCGACTAGAAGCCATATTTGGCTTGTGTTTGCCGTCGGGTCAATTTGTTGTCAGCCCAGCTGTTCTTCAGCTCCAGCTCACGTTCCTTGGCCTGCAAACAGAGAGAAAAGAAGGGCGTTTTCAAACCAAACATGCCGGCCAATGGCCGGCAACCTCCTTGTGCTGAGCGGCCAATGGCCAGCAACCTCCTTGTGCTGAGCGGCCAATGGCCAACAACTTCCTGCTAGTGCAAATCCCAAAATGTTAACTTTTATTTTACAGGTAGACTAGTGTAGACTTGGAATGCCTGCACATGTGACAAGACAGGTGCAGCTGCTTAAATATTTTACCTTCCTAGTTTTCCATTTTCATAATGTCTTGTCTGATTATCAGCGCACGCTTACCATTCCATAAATAGGCAGATGACAAGCCTAACCAATAGGACTCATTAGTGCTGACTCATTAAGAGTCACACAGTCTTCCACAAGGTCTAGTTTGCTGAGTGACTGTGTCCGCTTTAGTTCAGAGAGGTCCCAGAGCCTCCTTTTTCACAGTACGGCTTGATAAACTTGTTCAAGATTCCAGCATCAGTACAGAACTGCCTCATAACACATTTTCACTTATATCCTAGGGAGTTATGTGCTGAATGGGGAAACTACTGCTGTCAGTCTTACATATTCCTTTTCTTAATTCTTAAAGCCTCAACCCTCAGGAAGCAACTGACACACGTCTCTGCAATCTGTCCTCGTAACCTTCCATCTCCAAAACGGGTCTTATTTGGAGTCTGACAAGGATGCCGCCCGGGAATGAACAGATCTAGCTGTCCTATTCTGTCATTCCACAAACCCCAGTACTGCAATCTGTCTGCGCCTGTGAGCTCACAGGGGGGCCCCTGTCCGACCAGGTGTAACGTGCGCTCCCCACCTCAGCGACACTCGTACCTGGTGGATGAGATATGTAATCTGGTGTTTGCGTCTCTGCTGTCCCGTGGGCTGGTCTCCTTTTTTCTGCGCGTCCGACCCAGAACAAAAAAAAGAACACAGCATGAGTTTGCATGAAAGGTCCCCCGAGGAGTGGAAACGAGAAAGTGGCGTCTCTCGGGCTTTCCCCTGTGCGGGATCCTGACTAATACCACGGCGTCAGGGAGCGCGGAGGCGGCCGACCTTGCTGAAGGACTTGCGCTGGTCCTTCTCCTCCGTGATGGCCTTGGTCAGCCACTGCTGGCTGCCGCTCAGCTGGTCGTCCCCCTTGATCTCCAGGAACTTCACCTCCTCCTTGCCTTGGTTGCGTTTCCCTTGCAGGCGCCGGAACTAGAGGGGGGGAGAAGGGAGGGAGGGAGAGCAGAGCCCTTGAGTGGGGGGGGGTTGGCGACAGCGCCTGCACGAACTTCCCATTCACATCGCGGAATAGCCGAAACTTCCACGTTGTGCCACCCGGAACGAGGCGACCAAATCCAACAGAAATATGGCTCTCGGCTTCCGGGACGGTTTTTCCAGCAAATACTACGTACTTGTTAACTGTGCCTGCAGATCACAGTGGAACACGTCTGCGGTGCAATATCTGCTGCAGAGCCTGTACTTATTCGCTCGTACATC